AGGGTGAGGCTAGAGAGGAGTGAGGGCAAACGCTGTCTTGGCGGAGACCCAGTTAGCCTGACCCCGCGGCGTCTCTGATGCACAGCCTGCCCTACAAAGCTGGTCCCACCTCTCAGCAAGGGGGCTGAAGTTTTCTACATGGGTGAGTCAGGCTGCTGCAAGGCATGGGGCTCTCCCGCATCCCCCACCCCACAACATGGCCTCCTGGGGCCAGGAAGCTCCCCTCAGCCGAAGGCAGTTCCCCAGAGAAGGGTATGAGCTGTTAGCAGTCCACCCTCACCACAGCTGGCAGAGCTGCACCAGCCCCCAGGAGGGGATCCGGCAGGACCGATGGTGTCTGCTGCATCTGGGAAACGTTTCTTAATTCTTTGGGCATCAGTTTGCTAGTGAAACTTTCCAGAGTGGGCATAATAATAGCAGCTACCTTCTAGGGTGGGGCTGATGTACCACTTAGCACAGCACCTAGAAAGAGCTCAGGAATTGTCATTTGTTTTGACTTTGCTGGGATTCCCCTGCAAAACGGGGGTTATACATTAGTTCTTTGAACTGAGTCATCCTTCTTAAGTGTCGTTCGTGTGTGCCTGTGTGATTTCATCTCTCTTTAAAGGTCCCAGAGACAAAGGGGTTCTGGGCAACAGATGAGGCGGGCCCAGGAAAAAGGAAAGGAAGTGCCCCCAGGGTTGGGCTGTGCACCCCTTCCTCGGGCCTCCCACCCACCCTGTGGATGTTTCCTTCCAGTTTTGCTCCTTCCCTGTGGGTGTGGCCTCTTAAGGTGTGAACATAGGTCTCCATTATGGTCTACAACCTTAGATCTAGCCATCTGAGAAGAAGTTGTCATTTGTCTGACCTCAGGCGGCCCTCTGCAAGATCAAGTGTCCGTGGAAGGGCCAGGATTTTTGAGACTCTGCCCTCCGCCACATTCAAGGTTCTCTGCAACCTCACAGCTCCATTCTGTCACTCTCATCTTCAGGGCTGTTCATGGCTCTCCTCCCCTACACACCCCCCATACTCCTTAAACTGTCCCCAACCCCTTTCAATCACAGAGGAGAGTGTGCTTATACCTCTGGCAGGGACATGGGGGCGTGGCCATACGCAAGGTGACTGTCAACATAAAATTTCTCTTTCCATTCTCTGGACTTTCAAGAAAAGATACAGGTTATGCAACATTAAAAAGCATGATTCTGGAACTTTTGTGAGAGTATGCACATGTTAAAAACTTATAAGATCTCCCAAATCCAAAACGTTTCCCTCTACCCCTAAATCTTCCAATAAATTGCTACTCCTGAAAGACGACCCAGGTGTATCGTGCTTTTCATACTCTCAGGACTTCCCCTCGTGCCCCGGGGATGCACATACTCGACTTTAAGAAGCCCTTCAGGCTCTCTGTACTGCCCTCCAGGCCCCCACTAAGGATCCCAGTCCACTCGCATCTCCCTTTGTCCTCCCCCTGATCCCGGGATTCCAGGCTCCAGCTGTACTGGGTGCTGGCTCATCTCTTCCCTCCCAGACTTTGTAGCATTTTGCCCTTTCTTACTCACCATTTAGAACCAGAATGGGTGTGAACAGCTCCCTGCATCAGGCACAGCCTGGATCTGGATAGGATCTTTCTCCAGGGCCCTCTAATGGTTGGGGGGACCAAGATGAGAATACTGGTTCTGGGGTGCTGTGCAATCTTAGGGAAAGCCGTTAGCCTCTCTGGGAAGGGGTTGACTAGATCAGTGATCCCTTGGGCCCCATACAGTCCTAACAGTCTGGGAACATTGGCCAAGTGGACCATGCAAGTTGGCTGGCAAGGCAACAAAGACACTAAATGGTCCACAAATGGCAGAGCTGGTTATTTATCTGTGAGCAGGTGGTCAGGTGGTCAGCCATGAAGATATGAGTCCCATGGTCCATTCAAGAAATGGACATGGTGAACCTAGTCAGTGCCTAGATGCTAGGCTAGCAGGACGTTAGTGCAGTGATGATACCAGCTACTGAATAAACAGTGTGGGCCAGGCCTTGTGTTTGGTGCTTCACACAGCAGTCATTCACTTGATCATTCGTTCAATACCTATTAACTGATATATGTGCTATGCCCTGTGCTGAGAGATGGGGACCCAGAGGTGAATCAAGTTACCCTCGGTCCAGTGGGGAAGAAAGACAACTAAGTGGACGTGTGCCATGATACAGGGAAGTACAGAGTGCTCTGGGCCCACAGAGGAACAAGCGGCCACCAAGCCTGATGGGACTGAGATGGCCTCTCAGAGTAGGGATGCCTGAGCTAAGGCATTAAGGGCAAGTAGCAATTATCCAGGCAGAATGAGTGCGATGGGAGGGAGGGACATTCTGGATGGATGAGCTTGCAGAAAGAAACGGGATGGAGTGAGAAAATGAATGCATGAATGAATGAATGAGTGAACAAATGAACGAACAAACGAATAGCAGGCCTGTTTAGAGAGCTGCATGTAATTCATTCTCGCTGCCATGGAGTAGGGAGGACTAATGAGAAATGACTGAGAAGTGCATAGGAGTCAGTTGGTAAAGAATCTTGAACGCTCCTCTGAGGAGCTCAGAGTTTGGTTTGTAAAGCTCAGGGAGCCATGAAAAGATTTTACATGGTTACATTTACATCTTGGAATGACCGCTTCATCCGCTCTGTGAAGACTGTGGTGGATGGGGCAGAACTAAAAGTAGGGTTCCAGCTGGGAGGGTGCATGGTCCACCAAGCAGGGAATGATGGTGGCATTACACCCAAGGCAGTGGGGCTGCAGGGACAGGGAGCATTTGGGGGTTCTGAGAAGGCAGTACCAACAGGCCCTGCTTATGGCTTGGATGAAGGAGAGGAGAGAATCTAAGGTGACTGCCAAGTTTCCCACCTGGGAGAGTGGGAGGTTGGTGACACCATTGTCAACACAGGAGGAGGAAGGGGCTTGTTGGGAAAGATGACGAGTTCAGCTTGGGACATGCTGAGCTGGAGGTGCCTGGGAGGATCTAAGCAGAGGTATACAGCGGGCAGCTGGAGAAAGTTCTGGGCTGGGGAGAGAGATTTTGGAGTCCACAGCACACAGAGGGGAGTTGTGGCTGGGGCCGTGAGTGAGATTGCCCGGGGAGAGTGATGAGGGAAGAACTGTGTGGATGGTTGGGATGGGATGGACAGAAAGATGAGGAACTGATTCTGAGCAGGAGTGACCAGGAGGTAGAGGTGACCAGGAGAAAGCATTATGGAAGCTAACAGGTGGGTTTCGTTATCATGAACCCTGCAGCCACCTGCAAGGCAGGTAGCATTATTCCTCTTTCAGAGATGAGGAAATTGAGGCTCCAGGAGAGTAAGACCCATGGTCACACAGCTGGTCAGTGGTAGACCTGGGGTTCGAACCGGGGTCTCTCTGACTACAAAATCTACTCTAGGTTTCTACTCTGTCATGTTTAATAACACAGGGCTTGGCACCAAGTTGTTCCATAAATGTTGGATGGATGGGTGGGTGGATGGATACTTTAGCAGCAAGAAACGCTACAAGATTTCAGCAAACAAGCAGAAAGGCCCTGGAGTGTGCCTGGGAGCATGTCCATAGAACAGAAGCAGCTTAAAACTTTTTATAGCATTGCAGACATGGTGATGACAAAGGCTTGCCTTCTTTCCACTGCTCTGTTAATGATCTTTTAAAGTCCTTTCAGAGCAAGGTTTATTTTTTTCTTCTTTCCATTCTTGCTTGCAAACGAAGGATGATTTTAGAATGCAAGCCTTTTTTATTTTGCTGAAGTACATGATGAGTAAAATGGCCTCCCAGTCAGCACTTTCCAATTTTGAAAGATACTAAAAACTGATCTTTAAAAGCATGTTTCTCTTCTTTATGCATCAAAGGGCCCTGAGGCCTGTTGGAGAGGACAAGATGAATGGTGGGGAGGTAACAAGGCTGAGCCTCACTGCAGAAAGCAGGAAGTGGTGAGGGTGGGGGACAGGCGGCAGGCCAGGGCCTAGCTGGTCCCTGGCGGCTGCCCAGCACTTCCTCCTTCAGCCTGTTCTCTATGGGCAGGGCCCAGCCTGGATCCCCGCCCCCTACAAGGCACCAAGGGCCCCTTACCCGGACCTGGGAGGGAGCCTCAGACAGACACTGAATAAATGTTTGTTGAATGAATAAATGAGTCACAGGAGTGCCTGTAAACACACACCTATCAACCACATTGAGATACAAAGGTAATAAATAACCATTTATAGAACTTTTGGATATAGATTTTCCCTTAAAATAAGGATGGGCCAGGGTAAGGTTATAAAATACTAATACTAGCTAGCGTTTATTGGGCATTAACTATATGCCAGAAACTGTGTTAAGCACTTTATGAGGATTATCTCATTTAGTGCCCCCAGCAACCCTGTAAGGTAGGTATCACCATTATCCCCAGTTTGCAGATGAAGAAATTGAGGCCATGAGAGGAAAAAGGAGCTGCCTGAGGCATCCTTGTTGTTAAAGCTGAGATTTGAACAAAGCTCAGAACTCAAAGAGGCTCTGAAACTTAATTGGGAAGCTTCGTGGGCTCCCGGAAGGTAGAATCGTCTAGAATAAGGTGGAGTTGACTGGTCTCATTTCTGCAGACACCATCCTGGGAACCTAGGAAGCGCCCTTCTCTCCACTGGCCTCCGTTCCCCTATGTTAGAGTGGGGAAGAAGATTAGACCCTGTCTGTGCACCCTGCAGGATTTGCCTGCCCTTGTAGGAGAGCAAGGAAGAGGCCCCTTAGAGCTGTCGGCTTCAGCCTCCAGCCTGCGCAGACTGTCCCACAGCTGGCCCTTGAGACCAGGGAGGGTGACAGCACGAGCCAAGAGGAAGCTGACCCCAGAGAGGGCCAGAGAATCCAGGCTGGGCCGGGCTGGGTTAGGGGAGAGGTGTCGCCCTGCCCGCCCTGCTCAGGCACAGCTCTTGGCTGGGGAGCCTGGGGCTCTACCCGTGGCCTCAAGCCCCGAGCCCCCTGGGATGTGCCAATCACCTGCTCACCTTCATATCCATGTCCTTCTGTCCACAGGGCAATGACGTGAGGATCATCCTTGGCCAGTTTGACCAAAATATGGCAGCAAAAGTCTTCTGTTGTGTAAGTAAAGCTTTGATCCTGTCATTTATGTCTTTGGGGAAGTTCACGAAGCTTTTTCTCGGACTCATTCTCACTGGCTGGTCTGTGAGTGAGGTCCTAGGACTGGAGTTGGGCTTGTTGGAAGCACAAGTGTTACTCTCACTGCCCTTTCTTCTTTATAGGGAGCTAAAGCCCCACGGCTCAAAACCAGGCAGTCCTAGGAGGAACCAGGGACCTCAATTTACCAAACCCACGGTCTCACTGTTGCCTTAGCCCTGTCTCCTAATTCTAAGTCCCCTCGTCGTCTCAGCCATGCTTAAGGGAGGTCTGCTATGTGCGCAGCACAGAGGGTGATACCAGATACTAGGGCAAGACTGAGGTGACTCAGACCCCTCCCTGCCCCGTGAGCAGGGCTCCGAGTCTTACGTTTTGAACAACTGTCAGCTATTCGATATCTACCCCTGAATCCTTTGCAATTGTCTGGTGTGGATAGTTTACAAGGTACTTTCTTTTAATACCTTATCTCATTTAATCTTTTCAATAACTATGTGAAGCAACTCTCATTACCCCATTTTACAGATGAGGAAATGGACCACTCAGAGAGAGAAAGGGGCTTTCCAGAAGCCCTCAGGCAGTTCATGGCAGAGCCAAGGTTCCATTCCCATTCACTCGATTTGCAATCTAAGTCTCTTTTTTTCATACGATGTTCTAACCTACGTAAGTATAAGAGTTCTAACACAGGAACTAAGTCTCCACTTTGATGCTCTGGCTCTCCTCTTCTGCCCTGGGTCAGGAGAAGAGGTAACAGAATGAGAGCCTGGTTATGAGAGTCATTATCTACCCAATCAGCTCTTCCTCTTAAACTGAGGTTTTTGGGGTGTTGTCTCTAGTGATGGGCCTCAGGCCTCTGTTCTCTTTGAACTTTGGTCAGTAACTTGGATGAAATTATAAAAAGTAGGCTTATAGGAATATTAGGAATTATGATAGATGTTGGATGACGGAGTCAGGATGCAAAGAACCTTAACAGTCTGGAAAGTTTGACTAAATCCAGGAAGATTAAATCTCATAGTCCTAACAGACAGTTAGATTAGAACAAATCAAGCCACCTAGTTGAAGGTGGTAGAGGCATAGCTGTGTGTTGAGATCTTGGGGTCTTGGTTGGGGTCTTGGTTGAGTTCAAGGTTACCAAGTCACCAGTGTGAGCACCGCTGCCAGGGAGCTGAAGTGACCTCAGGCTGCATGTCCATACCCAGGGCAGGTAGCCCTTCTGCTGGAGAACCTCTGCCTGCGGTGTCCTGCCTGACTCCTGGTTCACCATTTTAGGAGAGATGCAGAAACTGAGTGAGGCGAGGGCAGTGACTGCAAGCCACGGTCGCACAGGGTATTTCGTCCTCAAGCCCCAGGAGCAGTGAGAACTGCCTGATCGAGCCTCAGTTTACCAGGGAGGACCGAGGAGCTATGAGGCTGACATTTCAGGAGACCCTGGGTGGAACTGAGAGGTCAGGAGTCTGCTTGAGCTTGAACCCTTCTCTACTCCTCAGTTACTGAATTTGGGCTTATTAACACTTTGAGTCTCAGTTTTCTCATCTGTAAAGTGGGGATAATAATAACACCCATCTCATAGGATTGTTGTGAAGATTACATGACCAAAAACACGTTGCCCAGCGCCTGATATATAGGGAGCCCTCAGTAAATGTCAGTGATCTTTGTTCATGGAAGGTCTCAGGTGTCTGAAGATGGAATGGACCACCACTGGCCTGACGAGTTTACTAACTGATGGACTTTACAAGGTTGTATTAAGCATCCTATGTATCAGTTAAGGGTAATAAGTGGTCTTTCTATATAAAAATCTATATAAAGGAACATGATAAAAATTGAAAAAATGGAGCAAATTTATTTAATATATTTTACTTTAAAACTCATAAGACCTTGCACATTACCATCTAAGGTCCAGAAATGGCCTAGATGTAAAAGGAAAATGCTGCTCCAACTTGGAGGACGTGCTCTCTTTTAGGGAAGAAGATGGGTCCCCCTCCCCCCAGCTGCCATATCCCCAAGGCCTTGCAAGCAGCTAACACATGGTGGGTAATAACTCCAGGATAAATGAATTCATAAAGATGATCCCTAACGAAGCCACCTCAGGCACTGGCCACCTCCTGTTTGCAAGAATGCAAGGAAGCCTTGTGTCCTGGTTTAAGCCAAGCCCAAGCTGAGGCGCGCCTGTGATTTTGCTCCACGCCATGCGTTGGGATTATTTTTGAGTGGCATTTCCAGCCATGGTTTCTACTTCAGAACAGATGGTGTAGCTGAGTTCCTCTTGACCCAAAGCCCGGCTGCCTGCCTTCCACAGGGCATGGGACACCATCATTACCTTCTCATCCCACTTTGCTTCTTCCTCTTATTGGATTTTCGTATTTTGAGATGGGGTTTCTCTTAGAGTCTCTGCTGGCTGCTTCATTCATGGAGGAGTTTCTCAGAGGTCTGAGCTGGGTGTTTATTCCATGCGCCAGACCGTCAGATGGATCTGCCCTCCAGGACGTTCAGTCTCATCTGGTTAGGTCTGGAAGGTCCTGAGGGGTCTCTTCAGGGTCATCTCGCTGGATCAAGACGCGGGCATGTGATGGAGGTGGGGCCCCTCAGAGCAGAGACCTCCGGAGAGAGCCTTTCTGCCTGTGCTAGTCAGAGCACAAACTTATTGGACACACCTGCGTCCCTGCCATCCAAATGCCGCAGTGCAAACTTTGCCGCATGTTGCTGCGTTTTTGAGATTGGAACTGCCACCCAGTGGGAGAGCAGGCTCCAGCAAATGCAAGGCCTATTTATAGTCCGGTGGCAAAATGTTCATTTTGGCTGCAGCACAATATGAGCATGGCTTGTTGCTTTTGTCTTCTCTACCTTCCTCGGTGGTCTAGTCTAAATTCTCCAGCACTCTGCCCTGGGTTCTGGTTTTAGCTCTGCCAGCTGTGTGGTCTCGGGCAGGTCACTTTACATCTCTGGCCCCTGGCTGCCTCATCTCTAAAACGGAATCAATGTTCCCTGCCCCACCTCTCTCGTGGGGCTGTTGAGAGGCTTACATAAGGCCACCAATGGAAGATCATCGTTCTGACTGTTAACTGCTTTGCTGATGTGAGAGTTTCTTACCGTATTCTTGCAAACTATCATATAAAAAGGCAATGCCCTCTTTGCATGGGGAAGTGAGGAGGCAACACGAAGCTTAAAAAGAGAAAATGGGATTTTAAAAAGATGTTCACATCGTGGCTCCCTGTCTGCAGCTAATAAGAACCAAAGCAGTTCATGGGACTGAAGAAGGTGCGTTTAGGACCACCCATCCCCATGCGGCAGGGTTCGTTTGGAGATCACATTCCTACAAGAGGCAGAGAAAATGACAACCAAGGTGACCAAGTACACTGGAAATGTGTTCATTCAGTCACTTCACAACCATTGATTGGGTTCCCTCTGTACACCTGGCACTGTGCTGAGTACTGAAGATCCTGGGAAGAGCAGACAGCCCCCTCCAGGAACCCCCAGTCTGGCAAAGGAGACAGCCAAGCATACCAGCAGCTACTTAGAGCTCACGTGTCCAACAACCTCAGTTCTTTTGAATGTGGGAGTACCAGAATGGAAGCCCAGAAGCTTCTCTGCAGTTGCTTTAGAAAGTGAATGATATATGTAAGCCCAGCCTACCTCCCTTGCAGGAGAACCTTTTAGACCCTCACTCAAAACCTATTTGCTTTTGCTCTACACATATGTTTAACAACCCGGGCACCCTGTTTTCCAGGCCCATAGAAGCCTAAAAGCAGCAAGTTCAGAATGAGGAGAGGGACTTGATGACTCTGAAAAGTGACTGCCTAGACTTGACAGCTGGAAAGGAGACAAAACCATAAAAAGTGGATCTAAAACTCAAAGTATAGCAGTCTCGGTCCATTTGGTGGGCCAGTCGTGTCTATGCCCAACAGCGTCACTGTGCATGGCCCATAATAGTGACTGATGTTCAGAGTGAAACCTAGAGTTACCCTAAGGAGAAGGGAACAAGAAGCAGCAGCTGAAGTGTCCCTGAGTGTAATGTTGGACAGGCGTGGTACCCGTACTATTTCGTTTAATTCTTACACCAACCCAGTGACATGGGCTTTGCTTTCCACGGTCTCTAGATGAGACATGTGAGGCCCAAGGTGTTGTGTGCTCCTTACCCAGCTGGTGTGCAGCAGACAATGTAGTGCTGCTTGACTGTAATCTTTTTTTTACCCCCCAGAAGATCAGGAGACAAGTTTTTACCTTCATCAAAATTGACTAATGTTCTAAACAAAATGTGTCTTCACTCAGATGGACTGAGCTTCTGTTTTCTGGAAAATTCATGCATGAGGAACAACTCCTAGTGGGACAGTAGCAGGTCAAAGAGCTGTCACAGCCGATCCTCATGAGGCTTCTGACCTTCTGCTCGGTGCTGCCTCTAAATTATCACACGGTCTCTGTCCTCAGAGACCTTCCGCCTTCGTGTCTGATTAGAAGACCTCCGCAGGTCTTCACTCTGTATCTGTTGACCTTTGAAAGCATACCTTCCTAATAAATGGGGCCATCTTCTTGCCTCAACCTTTTAAGATTGAAAAGCCTTCCAAAAAGTTTTGTTTTCTTTTGCTAAGAATAGAGGGGAATTTCAAAAGAAGGACTTTGAATCCACTACTTAGAAACTTCATTCTGGACCCGAGTTCGATGGAACATGACATCCCTACAACGTGAGATTTTTCTGGGTGCATCTAAGCTATCAAAAAGCATGCTCTTCCTGATCTAGAACCATCACAATTAGAACTAAAGCCAAACAGAGGTGCAGTAGAACAGCCTGATGATATTTTGTTTAAATGGGAGACAGACAGTGTGGATTTGTAGCATGGGAGTCAGCAGACCTAGGTTCCAGCCTGACTTTTCTCCCTGGCTATGTAACCTTGGAACAGTGACTTTCCCTTGCTGATGTTCAGTTTTCTCATCTCTAAAACGAGGATAATAAACTCTGCCCTGGCCATCTCAAAGGATGAACACGAATGACAATTGAATAAGATGCATGTAAAACATACAAATGTAAGGGACTTTTTTTTAGGATGTGGATTTATGTACACCATCTCTTGGTAAAGATTCAGAGAGATTGCTCAGTTTGCCAAGTGATATCTTATATAAATTGCATACTTAGATTAAATTTTCTTGGCCCCTTGCAGAATTGCGCCCCCTGGCTTGTGTTTTACAATTATGATCTCAGCTTTTAGTAAATACAAATTCACTACATATACAATATATATAGTAAATACAAAAATAGCCTTATGAAATCTGTTGTAGGAATGCTGTTGATACCATGTTGGCTAATTTGACAGTGTCCTTGGGTGGGGAGTGGGGGGAAGCTAAGCCTAGAAAACATTTTGTTTCCCTGAAGAACTGGTCTATTTTCTTCTTGTTGATAATGAAAGCTATGCAAATAATCTTGTTGCCCTTTTCTCTTGGGCTGCTAGGAAGTTCATGATGAAATATACAGCTTATTATGTATAGTGTTGGACACTTCGGTCAACTTCTCTATGTTTTGTTCTCTTTACCTCTGGTAAACATATTATACTTTATATTTACCCAGGCCCTTATGTTTTAATGTTTACTATTTTGTTATAAAAGTTTCCCATAAACTACCTTGGATCCCTTAATTAATAGAAAAATTAATAATAAAGTCTCCGGTAAGAGGAAGCCTGAGTCCCTCCCCACAACCCCTGCCTTCCCCCCACCCCGCGTCCCCTGACACACACACACACACACACACACACTTCTCTCACAGGGCACAAAACCTTGAACAAATGTTTGACGCTTGGTGCCTTCATGGTCAACCCATTTGTTGCAGGCATTTGAGGAGAACATGTACGGTAGCAAATACCAGTGGATCATCCCAGGCTGGTATGAGCCTTCCTGGTGGGAGCAGGTGCATACAGAAGCCAACTCATCCCGTTGTCTCCGGAGGAGCCTGCTTGCTGCCATGGAGGGCTACATCGGTGTGGACTTTGAGCCCCTGAGCTCCAAGCAGATCAAGACCATCTCAGGAAAGGTCAGTACCTTGGTCGGCCTATCTCAGCCTCCAGACCCTTCTTCTTTGATCATCCTGTCTGATTATGTTGGCAAAAAGTGCCCAGGTATTGTTCTAGCTTTTGCTGTGTGTTTTTGAGCAAATCACTTGACCTCTCTGAGCTTAACTTATCTATTAAATTGAAGTAGCCAGCCCTCCACCGCATGCCCCTCTAGGAAATTGTGGGAATCAAGTAAGGTAAGGGTGTTCTGTAAGCTCATAACACCGTGTACATGTAAGGGGTAGAGTTGTGACTTTTACATACCATCCATAAGCATTGCTTGTCAGACTCTACTATGGTTTCATCCTGTGCCCCTCAGACCTGGAGTGTCATTTCTCAGTCTCACTGATGCTCCTGTCAACCCAGAGAAGAACGACCCCTCAAGCAGACTTGGGGAAACATGTGCTGTAGCCCAGCCAGACTAGTTTGAACCCCAGTTTTGCCACCGTGTGACCTGGAGCTTTAGTTCTCTGAGCCATTTTTTCCTCTTCTGTATAATAGAGGTAAAAATACCCTCCTCTGGGGTTAAAAGGACGACTGATAGCAGATTGTGCACTATGGCTAACATGGCACCTGGTACCTCAGTACTATCACAACTGGGAGGAGGGCCTGGGCAGGGTGCTTAAGTCCTTGGGGCCACCACATGTTCCAGTAGGGGTTACTAACCCCTACCCTGCTTATCCAGCAGGGCTGTGAGAGATCCAGGCAGCGTGGCATATTTCAAAAGTACGTACACCATTCTCTGTCAATATATTAGCAAGAATCAGTTGATGACAGCCCTGGTGAAGATGGTATATCCATTTTTCAATTTTAACTACCAGCCAAAATGCGGTACAGCAATGCACATAATTCTATTCTGTCTTCTCAGAGCTTAGATTATTAAATTCTCCACTCAACTCCAGCATTCTTACAGACCCAATTGCATTTAAAGAATAAACTTTATGTAAAGTAAAATGTATATGTATTATTTTTATCCATTATTTAATCTCAATTGGAGCCAACTCAACAAGAATGATGTATTGATTTGTCAAAAAATGGCAAATCATTAGGATACATTTTGTAAACAACTCTTTAGATCATGCTGGCATCTGAGGGATCCTAGAAAAACACTCTGGTTAGAAAAGGTTGAAAGAAATATTTTTATACCAAAATCAATAAGTATATAAAAAGGTTTTGAGATGCTGAAAAATAAGTAGAAACAACTCATTATATTTCAGTAAGTGTTATTATTAAAAGTGTCAAAGTGTGCAGTTTGTTAGAAGATCCTTCGTGCAGGGATACCCTATACTTTAAAAATAGTATAAAATTTTAGAAAAACACAAAAACTAAGGGAAAAAATTTCATGCAAGCAGACAGTATAAAAATTAAACAGAGAGAGTTACAGAAGACCAACAGAATAAATGATTACATAAGAGACCTGTGAAGCTAGGTGGGGTGAGGGCAACGAGACGTAATGAGAAGGACCTCCAATGTCATTCTGAGGAGCGTGGATGTGACCTAGGGTAGGCAATGTGAGTCGTGCACAGGAATGCTTTTTGGGAAGATCATTTTTTGCAGTGTTTTTTGGAGACAATGTTTTCACTTTGTAACTACATCATCTCCTAGGTCACTGACTTTCCTTTTACATTTTTTATTTTTTATTTGGAGCTAGTGAGGAGACTGATCTAACTCCTATATTGTTGTACCTGTGAATGGGACCCCTTGTGCTGTTCCTGGAGCTGTACCCCACAGTGTGGGTGACCTCCTCCTGGGCCTCCCAAAATGGAGCAGCGCCATCGGAGCAGAGGCAGGCTCCAGGCTCGAGGCAGCTTCCAAAATTTCAGCAGACCAGGCCCTGCCCCCACAGTCTTTGAGCTAAGAGGCAGCACCTCTTACGTTACCGTGAGATTGTAAGACGATGGAAGTTACACGGGGACATCTGCAGCCTTTTAACCTCTTGCAGTCGGAGGGCCTCAGGTCTTTCCTAGAGAACATTTAGACCAGGCTCCTCTCAGGCTCTCAGATCCTACCAGCAGCAGAGGACTCACTATTTCTCCCTTACTTTCCCCCACTGATCCCTCTGGGCCCAGACAGGTCCTGTGGGTAGTGACCTTGTCCAAACTAAACAACCCATCTCTCCAGTTGTAACTCACAGGCTCATGGCTGGGGCTAAGGGCAAAATCTAAATGGATGCCAAAAACCTCAGTAATCAAGATAAAAGGATATTTTAATATTCAAAATTAATGCAAAAAAATCCATCATGATCAAAATATCAAAATTTTCAATAAAGACAAGGTCCTCAGAACTGGGATTAGGGTGAACTAAGTAATGTGAGTCACACAATTACAGGATTAGATCTTGTCTTTATTGAAAATTTTGATATTTTGTTAAGCATGGATTTTTTTCACATTAGTTTTGATTTATTAAAATACTATTAATATGGGTTGCTGAAGGTTGTGGCTCCTTCTTAAATTCTGTACTGGAAGAGAACACCTCACTCGCCTCCCCCTTGTCCTGACCCAACACAGGTTGGAACTGTCAAGCCCCTTCCCATGCTCAGCCTGTCCTCCACACCTGACTTTGTTGAACACTCTCTCCCTGTGGTGTGGCACCCAGAGTTAATAAAACATTCGTATTTGTGGTCTGACCACAAGCCAACTTCCCCAGTCAACCTTCAAAAGCCTATGGCCAAAGGAAGTTCTAGAGAGTTGAGAAATGTTTCTTGAATTTGAATTTGCGTTTTACATGACTGCTGGAGACAGTGGCACAGGCTGCTGGGTTGATGCCTGTAATTTGGGGCCCCTCAGTGTCCATGAAGGCAAGCAAACACTCGTAGATCCATCCCAAGTCAACGGGCTCTTACCATCCTCACGATTTACAGGTAGGGCAGCTAAAGGGCAGAAAGGACACCCCCAAGGTCCCTGTAGTGGGTTGAATAGTGACCCCTAAAAAGATATGTTCACATCCTAACTCTCAGAACCTGTGAATATGACCTTATTTGGAGAAAGGATCTTCATGGATGTAATTAAGTATCTTAAGATGAGATTATCTTTGATGACCTGGGTAGGTCCTAAGTCCAGTGACAAGTGTCCTTATAAGAGAAAGGCAGAGGGAGACTTGCCGCATTGAGAAGGTCACGTGAAGACGAAGGCAGAGATTGAAGTGATGCGTCTACAAGACAAGGAATGCCAAGGATAGCTGGCAGCCACCAGACACCTTAGTTTTGGACTTCTGGTCTCCAGAACTTTGAGAGAATACATTTCTGTTGTTTTAGGCCAGCCAGTTTGTGGATATTAGTTCTGGCAGCTCCAAGAAACCGATAGTCACCCGGAAGTTCAGGAAGAGATCTGGGCTTGAAGCCATGACTGCCAATTCCCCACTCAGTGTCCCTTCCCCTCTACCATGCAGTCCCTCGAGACTTGAGACAAGCTTAGGGACAGAATGCATCCAAATTAGCCCTTTTGCGACATCTCAGCAGTGCCCCTGTTAGTAAGTGGCCTAACAGGAGCACACGGGCCTGGTAATCAGGAGATCCGCACAAACTTTTTCATTCCCACCAATTAATCTGCCACTTACTATTCACTCTTCCTCCCTGGGCCTCAGTTTCCTCAACTGGAAATGAGAGATTTGGACCATATAACTCCTAGGGTCCTTTCACAGCTAAGTTCTCAGACTCTGTGTAATTGTGGTACTGGATTATTACTGCAAGCTATATGACATAATTATAAGATTAAACTCTGGATTCCCCAGGATAAAGGTGACTCCTGAGAGAGAAAGTTGCAGGTGGAACAGTCTTCCTCTTGGAATGCATTTTCCAAGGTTCCCTCTTCTATATGCCTGTCTCGAGCGTCAAGCCGTCCCCAGCTTGCTCATTGGCACCCAGGAGATTTCTGGTAGGAGGAATAACAAGGTCATGGTCTTCCTCCAGATCACATTCATCAGTCTCTTCCCAGTGACATTTCTGATGACGGAACAAGCACAGACCTTTGGGCTTCCCCAAGCACGTTCGGAGCTCAGGATTCTGGAACTTAGGAAGACAGACAGCCTCTGGGCACAGCTTTGGCTCTAATGTCTGGCTTTTTCTCCTCATTGAGGTTCCCCATCACCACTCTACTCCCCCACAGAGACTCTGTGACATTGGTGATTTCCGGTGTCAACTTTCACTCTTCAAAGTCCCTGTTCAGTTTATTTCCATGGTGAGCATTTGCATTTCTGACCAGGTTTCTTTGGTGAATATATGTTCAAATTAGTGTTGGCTACATACTTAGGGGTAGAATTTCTGAGTCATAAAGTATGCTTATGTTCAGCTTTAGTAGACTCTGCCAAACCGATTTCTAAAGTGGTTGCACCAATTTACACACCCACCAGCAGTGATTGAGAGTTCTATTTGGTTCACGTGCTCACCAATGTTTGGTATTGCCAGCTTTTTTATTTTAGCTAATCTAATGGGTGTGTAGTGGTGTCTCGTTTTAGTTTTAATTTACATTTCCCTGATGACTAATGAAGTTGGACATCTTTTCGTATCTTCATTGGCCATTTTGATATCCTCTCTTGTCAACTGCCTATTCAGGTCTTTTGCCCATTTTTCCACTCACGTTCTCTGCCTGTTTGTTATTGATTTGTAAAAACTTTTTTATATTCTGGGCATTAATTCTTGGATGGTTATATGTATTACTTATATCTTCTCACATCCTGTAACTTATCTTTACACTCTTAATAATGTATTTTGATGAACAGAAATTCTTAATTTTAATATTGTACAGTTTATTAGTCTCCCTTATAATTAGTATATTTGTGTCCTGTTTAAGCATCTTTGCCCACCCAAGCTCATGAAAATATTTTGCTTTTTTGTCTTTTAGAAGTTGTGCTTTACCTTTCACATTTAAATATAGAGTCCACATGGAATTGATTTCATGTATGGTCTGAGGTAAGATTAAGATTAATTTTTTCAATATGGATAATAACCAATTGATTTGGGACCACTTATTGAAAAGTCCATTATCCTCCCCATCCCCTATGCTACAGTGTCACCTTTGTCATAAATTCAATGGCTATATATAATGGGGATCTGCTTCTAGACTTTCTATTCTCTTCCATTGGTCTATTTGCCTACCCTTTAATCAATTACACATTGTCTTAATAATTGAAGCTTTATAATAAGACCTGATAACTTGTAGTGTAAGCCTTTCATCTTTGTTCCTCTTCTTTAATATTTTTTCCATGTTCTTACCCCTGTTGTCATTTTCAGTTTAGATCTGCTCACATATTAACATTTTCCATTGCTTTTCATTTTTCCGTGCATTTCTGTTCTGTTTATGATCATTTTCCTCCTGCCTGAATAACTCCTCTTAGTCTTGCTTTTACTATGGGTTTGCTGGAGACAAATTCCCTCCATTTCTGGTTGTCTGAAAATGTCTCGCTTTCACCTTTAA